ATTTCCTATCCTTCCTACGCAACAACTACGCACCCCCGGGAACTCCCAACATGCCGTATGCTATGCCGTCTCTCATCTCCTCATACATCCAAGTTTTGTACAATCCAGTTGATTAGACTCACTATCAGCCAGGCTCAAACCATAGTGATCTTAGTTAACCCAAGAATGAGTCTGCTTAGTGAGGGTGGCAAATCCACAGGTTGTTGTCAACAACATCAATAGCCTTGCTATCGACCTGCTTGCCACTCGCATCAAAGGGGCAGACGCGGCGAAGACCGCACTTGATATCACAGGCACCCTCGTTGTCTCCCTTGCACAGGGCAACCTCATACCGGCTGGCGTGGCGGTCGTGGTCCTTCTTGCAGCGGTTCGTGGTGATCTTGTACTGCGCGCGGGGTCCCCAGCCGTTGAGCGGCGTGAAGCCCCAGTTGTCGGTATCCTGGCCAACCATATTGGCGCGGCAGTTCTGGTGGGCCGCGACGTGGGTATAGCCGTTGGCGGCCATGTAGGCCTCGGTGTGCTTGTCGAGAATGAAGGAGTAGGAAGAGAAGTCGCCGTTGGACGGGATGCTGCCGGCGAGGCACTGCGGGATCACGCGGGTGTAGTACTCCTCGCAGGCGTAGGCGTTGTTGACGGCCTTGAAGTCGTTGGCGGTCGGGGAGTTCCAGGGGTCGATCTTCTTGTCCGTGACGGTTTCCATTGTGTGCTTCAAGCTTGCCGAGCCGGAGATGGGCGTCAGCTTGTTGGTCTTGGCAAAGGCCTTGGTGTCGTAGATCATGACGGAGTTGTAGTCGAAGGGGATGGAAACGTCGGCGCCCGTGTCGATTGTGAACTGGTCGAGGTCGTCCGTTTGGACGCGGTCTGTCAGGATGCGAATGTATTGGTCGCGGTCGGGGCGTTGGTGCTCATGGGTGAGTCCGATCAGATGTCCAAGCTAAAATTCCGGTATAAGTCTCTGTACATTGCAAAGATGATATGGTATATTCTTACCTCGTGAGAAGGCGTTCCGGCGTCGAGACAGGCCTTATACGTTCCGAAGGAAAGAAATTTCTCCCAAGCATTGGGGTAATCGAGATTGACGAGTCTCTCTCCCGAGCCAGGAGAGCCTAAGCCCCTGGAGAAACATCCGTCGTCAAACTAGGAGTCAGTCAGTCGCGCAGCCCAAACCATATTCTCTTTTGCAAGTATACGTTACCTTTTTGAAATTGGCCCAGGCACCTTGGCTCGTCTTGGGGAGGAAACGGATGCAAGTCGACTGCTCCCACTCTCGCATGGCGCCGCGGATCGACTCTGAAAGGTCGTGGGGGAGGCCCTGCAGGATGTACGGAATCTCGGCAGAATCCCAGAGCTGGTAGGCATACATAGAGCCGCGCTTCTCCAGAGACATGGCCTCGATTTCGGAACGGTTGAAGATGTTTGTCGGGAACACAGCGGCGAGAGCCGGTTGCGAGACGGCCAGGGCCAGAGCCGCGAGGCTCTTGAACGAGACAGAAGCCATCTTCAGCGCTGAAAGTTCAAAACTTTTGAAAAAGATTACTTATTGGAATAAAAGAGTGTATGCTGTGTCTTCCTTGAATGAGTGATGGGAGAACTACGGCCTGTTGAATTACACACAAAGATCGCAGCGTGAGGTCAAGGAGAGACTGAAGTGAGATTCACGGTGGTCATATTATGCAAGAATACTGTATCTAGCTACCTGAGTGGACTTATACTCTTCGCGGACTTACACTCTTGCGTGACGGAGTTGAGGCTGTTCCATCCACGCATCAGTCAGTTTCCTGTAAGCCGTCCGGAGTCTCCGCAACAGAACACTGACACTACCTCAGTAGAGTTTAATTACAGGTTCTGGCCCTGAATCAGTTGAAAGAGCACAATATGGATCAAGATGGTCTGTTCGTGAGGCTCTCAGAGCAACTTACCATCCGTGCTGAACCTACTAGCTAAGTTGGACAACGTGAGAGAAAAGTCGCCGAAGTACTGCGTAGAAAGAGCAGAAAAGATCTGCAACCGTAGAGACGGGAACGTGGGAAGTCTTAGGGAAACAGGGAGATGGTTAATATGTGAAGGTTTATAAGGCCGCCCTTTCGAGTCAGGTAACTTCTTTGCTAAGCTTAACTCCCCATTATGGCAAGTCTCCTTTAGGAGTATAGTGGCTTAAGCCTCATCTTATTTCGAAGCGTAATGCATTAAGAGGACGAGCATTTCAGCAGCGGGAAAAGTTGCTATGACAGAGTACGGGTATCCCTAAAACCCCTGGAAACTACCCTCGTGGCGAAGCTTGTTCTCTGAAGACTGTAGTTGGCCTTTGCACGCGCCACAATTTTCTACTTCGGGTTCGCTCTACTAGAGGATGGTAACTCGCAAGATCGCGTGGGGGCGTTGCGAACGTAGAGATTGCATTCAAAGACTTACGAACAGGTCCTTGGTATAAGACAAACCCCCTGGCGCCTCTTTGGTATACTTATCGTGCATCCCATGATTTCGTCCTCAATCTTTGCCATCGAGTCGTGCCATGCGCACGAGAGCCAAGGCTCAAGACGCGCGTTGTCTTAATCAAGACGGCAGGGCTGGGCAGAATATCGACCACCAATTTCCCGGCGCAAGTCAAACTAACCTTACCTTGGTTGTGAAAAACCTACTTGCCGATGCGACTCCCAAATTCGACTTCATGAAGTATTATTACCCAGGAGGAGGAGGAGGCGCAGGCGTATGATCATTGGCTCTGATCTCACCCTAAACGTAATCGGGGTTGACTGAGTTCTTTATACGGACACTTTCGACCTTCAACTCTTCAAACCTTCAACGGGTCTAGCCCGTGATATGTCTTGATGAGAAATGAGAATAGACTTATCCCACTTGATTACTGATGTTTCCGACAGAGTACTGATAGCGGCCTGAGCTGCGTTCTTCACACGCGCATTCTCTTCGTGAGTGCCAACTACCTTGCGTAGCTGTGCCTGAAGTTAGTTTCTTACCACTGTCTCGAGTGCTCTTGAACTCAAGCGGTGATACGGTTTTCTGTCGTTCATCTCATTTACGTAAAGTTTCAAGGCCTTCTAAATGTATCCCTCAGCAGCTATTGTAAAGTGGTCTTGGAAGCGCCACCTGCATGCCTGCTATACGGGTCTGACTTGTGGCAGGTTCCACCAGGTAGGCTGTTTAATTTTCTCTCGGAAAAAAGAGTTCCGGTCCAGCGTCCATGGATCCCAACCGATCAAAGCCTAAAGTGAGAGCTCGTCACATTTTCTTTTGGAACGTTGAGAAGCGCGCGGCAAGTAAGCTGGCTATACTCTACGCAGCGGGCCGCCGCCGCCCTCACAGGGGCCTTTTGGCTTGTCACACCGCCGGAATCATGAATCACTCCTTCATTCCGTACATCCGACCAGAGTAATAGCCTTGTTATCCAGGTAAGAGCTTTGTTGCAAGGAAGCCTTTTACGTCAGCGATTACTAAAGCAAGGCATTGCATTCTCCTCTCGGCCCATTCAGGACGCTGATTGGCCCAAGGCGCCGGAGGTGCCAAGATGCCGTCTACGTGGGCTCACGCCGAAGGGACTTTGGGAGACTCGGAAAGAGCGATGGATAGTGGTCTCCTTTCTGAGATTTTCTCTCATGATCCAATTCCGGTTGGTGAGGTCTCCTGCTCACTACCAGCACGCATATATCACAGTGTCACTATAGAGAAACGGAGAAGCAGCGGTGCTGCTAGGCTATTTATTAATCTTAGATTGCCTACCTTACCATGTGTTCGTAATCTTAAGAGCCGCTTGCGGAACTGCTCTGGAAAACCCCGACTTGTAGCAGTGCTATGTAGTCGAAAGCTGAGGCTTCATCGTTAACGAAGGACATGAGGCAGGGCGTTTGATACGAATGACCATTAGACGTCACGGAATCAAAACCCGTTACACATGAAGATAGGAAGAAAAAACAAAGAGTTCACCCCCCCCCCCTGGTGCTGAATTGGGGGTTACATCGCTTGGTGCTCATGCTGGAAATCGAACTAGGAGCCTGTCGTCGAGTAGGCATGTATTGGGGCGAATTAATTGTTGACCTTGATACCACTCCACCACCCAGCCAGTTTGACCTGACCCGTCGACCTAGACGGGCGCCGTCTGGCTGGTGACGGGAATGGCGTTGAGGGGGTATATATGGGCTCCTTCCCATGTGTATTCAGTAGATGGGATGAATACGCACTTGTACACGGGATCATTGTCCCTCGCCCATCTCGGCTGGAACACAGAGAGTGGTCAGCCAGTTGAGTTCAAGAACATAAAGGAACCAGCCTCTCCTTTTTCGTGCTTTCATAGTCATGGGATAGTTTTGCTACTTCTCATGCTCCAACCAGATACGACGATGCTCTATGATGATCAAGACCAGCTGATTAAAGAGTCAATATTTGCTTCTTACGCAACGAGGCTCCTCTCAATGATTTTTCCAAGTCATTGGGAGGTCGAGTTCGGTTTATTCATTGCCTATGCAAAGTAGGAAGGGATGACTTGAATTTGTCTTCATCAATAAACATGGCGTCTCCCTTTACACCTATGACTGACTCCCATGGAATCACTTTCGTCTTTTATGCCGACGTCAGCAAGGAGCACTCAGACTACACGCCGCGGATAGTGATCCTGTCACTTATACATCAAATCAACATAACAGTCATATTGGCAGAAAACGCTCGAATGTTTCAATTTGTGGGCATTGACGTGACTGCCCCTTTTTGTCTATTCGCACCATGCAATCTAGGTATATCCTCCTCAAGTCGTAACCAACAACTATACAACAACGAATCCAACAAGGCGCCATCGATGAAGTAACCCGTGCCCGTCTAATGCGTTATGAACTCCTAATCGCAAGCATGTAAATCGTTCATGAGCAAAGGAGAACAGAAAAGCCGCATTCCTGCACAGGTCCCTTATCCGTGATGCGCCTTTCCAGAAAGAAACCCGCTTAGCTTCGTGTGGCCTGTTTTCAAACCACCGTGTGGCGCCTTCGTCATGTCGTTCAGTAAACACTGCCCAAGATACTCCTGTCCCGCTTCTCCGCGGCGTCAATGTCATCCTCGTCTGCCTCAGAGCCTCGGTGGCTGCTATTGGTATCGCCAAGGCGGTTGGCGCGGCGCCGCCGGCTCTTCTCGTCTGATTGCTCATCTTCGGTGTTTGGTGTCATGTTTCCTTTGGTTTGACCACCGACGATGCTGTTGATACTGCCGTTGGCGCCGTTGCCGTCTCCATTAGACACAATGCCAACCTTGATCTTGGTCACGGCTGTGACCTCCGGTCTGTGGCCATCCTCCTCGGAAGAGTCTGTGTCACTGCCGGCAATCGAGGTCTGTCCGGAGAAAGTCCCGCCAAAATCGCGGCCAACATTCAGGTGCGGCGAGATCATGCTCCGTAGACGATCTTCGGCAGAGATAAAGGATGGGGTTCCATCGGGAGATGAAACAACTTCATGGCGAGCTCGGGTGACGTCGATCTGCGGTGGCCGGCCATCGCTGTCGGTGCCCTCGTCGGATGTGTATCCCTGCTCGCATCGCTTAATGGGTCGCCGTCCTGGTGCAGGGGACTGCCGACGGGATACAACAGACCCATTAGAGGTGACTTCGTCCGTTCGGCGAAGGGCTTCCAGGTCGTCTCGCCTCTGGTAGTGGCTCTTGTGATTACACCCGTTAGGACAGCCACCCCAGCGCCGCGTGACGATGAAGGTCTTACTGCGTTCGAGAAGAGTACCGTTCTTGGCATCCTTGGTGGACCTTTCCTGGTTTCCCTCGACCTCGCTACGTTCCTTCTCCTCCTTCTCCTTTAACTCGGCCCGCTCCTTGCGTAGCTCTGACCATGTCCGGAGTTTATTCTCGAGGATGTACTTGCCGCTCTCTTCTTGCTTGCGCATGATGAGAAACTCGCAGTGGTTGACATTCCGCAGGTCCTCAAAGTACTCGACAGTGAAGTGATACCACTTCATCAAGAACACCCGGGACATGAGGCCGTGGGTGACTAAAGGAGTTAGCAACACAAGGCAAAACGGCTCGGAGGTGTCCGGCATACCTAATACACAAACGCTGGCAAAATCATTCTCGCCAAACTGACGCCACAGACTCTCATTGAAGCCACTAACTCTGTCGTAGGCGTCTGCGGCGCTCTCGCCATTGGGGATGCGGTAGAAGAAATGGCCGTAATCGGCACGCTCTTGCCACATGCGTTCCATTTCGGCGGAGCACGGCTGGAAGTTACCAAAGTCCTGCTCACGCAAGCGAGGTTCCTCGTAGACCTTGATGTTGGAGCGCTTGAACGGAGAAGGATCCTCCTCGTCGGATGTCAGAGTCGAGAGAATGCCCTCGGTTGTCTCGCGAGTCCGGCGGTAGGGGGAAGTAAAGAAATGCAGTGTGTCATCGGCACGCAGTAACTTGCGCAGGTTGCGGCCAGCTTCGTAGGCTTGTTGCCAGCCATCTTGTGTCAACTTTACTCGGTGGTCGGGTATCGTTTGGTGAATATCGCGGTTCTCTGCGTTGTGAAAAACAGTTAGCAATCCGGTCGAACGGAGATATCTCGGACCAAGGGAAACAGAGAAAGAAAGAGAGAGTCGCACTGTTGCCCTCTGACTGAGCGTGCCGAATGAGGATGATGAGCCTCGGTTTGACCATGATGTCGGGTTGTAGCGGGTGTGTTTTCCGGTTTGTAATCGGGGTCAGGCGCCTAGAAGTTGTTTGGAGCGGTCGACAATGTGGTTGTCGGCGGTGTAGTGAGAGAGGTGGTTGTGGTTATTGTAAGCAGCAAGAAGTTCTTTATTGCCCGAAGAATACCATTCAGAGAAGTGAACAAAGCTCTGTGCAAACAAAATGGACGCGAGCCTCTTGTCGCAAAAAGTCGTAGCGTTGGGAACCTTGTTGACCGGGAAGGATGTGGAAGTGTAGGGGAAAGAATGAGGCGTGGCGGGGCAAAGGCAGGAGAGTGGTAGACGGGGGGCGGATGCTAGTCGCAGAGGCAAACCTTGGGATGGGGCTGCCGTTGTACGTGTATCGCTTTATGCCAACCTTAACCTTAGGAACGGACGGGGAGAGGGATGGAGCCTGCTTTAGTAGTGTGTAGACGTTTCCGACCAACAGGTTGAAGAGGTTGAGATGCGTTGGGTTTGGGTTGAAGGTGCAAGGAACGTAAGGCGTAGCAAGGAGTGGTTTAAGTGGGATGGAATGGACATGTCTGTCATTGCAAGAGAGAAGTCTCAGGGGTGTTTTTTTGGAGGGGAAGTGTGACTCTCAGGGACTCTCTTGGTTGTCTGATGCATCCACCATCACTGACTGCTTGCATGCGATACGTATCTTGCCCATGCCACTGCCGCCATGAGTGACAATGATCAACTCCCGCATAGGGGCATGAGGACTGTACATCAATCGACGGCGTGTTGCCCCTTGTGTGCCAGGTATTTTTGGGTATTGCCATGGCAAGCCGCGAGCCGCAAGCCAGCCGCAAAAGCGCAAATCTCCTGTAGGAGGTATACTAGAGAAAAGGACCCCTCGTCCCACCCAAATGAATGACAGTCAAACAGACCCATCCACACTCTGCCCTGTACATACCTTTACCAGAGACAACCCAATCGACTTGGGCTGGCTCTTTAGGTATTCCGCGGGGGGTTAAAGACAGGCAGGGCCGTCCCCCCTCCAAGTTGTTCCAACAGGCCACGGCCCCTGGCCATCTCTGGCTCTACAGCGGGGTACATCGGAAGATCTCAACGCCCTGTCAGCCAACCAGACGTCAGAGGCAGGGCTCGAGCTGGCACCTTGAGACAGGGAATGTGCAGCCCCTGATTGGCGCACCTACCCTCCGACAAGCGGCGAGGCTGTATGCCCCACCTTGCGGCGGCACGGCGGCACTTGCAATTTTTTATCCTTCCTTTCTCTTTCACGTTTTATGAGTACCTTTGCCTAAGGTAAGGTAGGTAGGTTCTCTCTGAACGGGTCTGCGAATACGGACATCCATTCACGGATTGTATTTTGTAAAAAAAGAATGGAGGGGAAACGGGGTCTGCCGGCACTACTTACTTTTGTCTTACCTGCAGAACCAAAGTGCCCGCATTCCAGGTGAAGCCATACTACAACCCCAAAATGCATCTTCATCCAACGGACGAAGAGCAAACCGCATACATTCTGTTGGACGTTGTGGTGCAACTCCTCTTTCTGCAGTCTTCCCAACCAATATTCCCTTCCTGTGATTGTGATTCACTCATCACGTCCATCTTGACGCCTGACAACCAACATCACTGCAACCCCATACATGCATAGTAAGGTAAACTCAAAAAAGTATGTGTATCCGTACCGAGTGCTTGTGTCACTCAAATTCCGCACCTCGTCTGGCTCAAGCGTGGTTCATCTGCATGCTCCGATTAGGCGCGTTGGCCAGAACCGCCCATTCCCAGCACTGTCATTCGACATTCAATCTTTGTTCCCCACCTCATCCACACAACCTTGCCCACGCCTTGCAACTCCCGTCGCCCCCAATCACCTTGCTTCATTTCCTCAGCCTTTCCAAATGGCAAACAGGCAATCGCACACCTCGCCGCAAACGTGCTTGACTCTTACCGGTTCTTACCAACAGGCAGGTCAGAAACAGCAGACAGCCGCCGCCACCTCGGCCCATCTCCTAGCCGCCCACAACCGACCGACCTCTCACCACACCACCGCGCGCCAATCTTTTCCCGCTTAGATTACCTTACCTTACGCCGCGCGCGCGCCTCCATCTCGCGATCTCTTGTTGTAGCTCACAATCAAACATCAAGTCACCAACATTCAATCGCCCACTTCACCCACTCCAACAGTCAGTCACACTCTGCCTAGACCGGGGAAGACTGCAACGCAAACCACCCAGCTACGTACGCAGACGGCTACCATCACATGCGCCTTCCCGCCCGCCCGTTTTGCATAGCCCATCGTATAGCTGCTAGCAAAGCGCAATCACCGTAGCCGGGCCTACCAACGTTCCTCCCCCCCGGATCAGCCCATTCCACATCCAGCCTCATCCCACAATCATACGACTCTCCCCCGCCAATCTCAAAAGCCGCTCAACGCAACCGCCCACCGCCGAACCCGCAGGATCCGGTCCTCAACCGACCGACCGACCTCCCTTCCACACCCCGAACACCACCGGCCGCAACAGCAGCAGCAAAAATGTCCGGCGAAGGCCCCGAATCAATCCCCACCTCAGCGGACCCCCGCTCCCGCCGCCCAACAAAGAAACGCGCCCTCACCCCCGTCTCCGAACACGCAAAACACCTCGAGACCCTCTTCTCCAAACCAGACCAAGAGATCCGTCTCCCTTCCGGTCCCGGCGCCGTCGCCAAACGCGCCGTCGCCGCCCCGCCCGAGATCGTCACAAACGTCCAAGGTTCCTCCGCCGGCGCCGGCTCCGGCGAGTTCCACGTCTACAAGGCCAGCCGGCGCCGCGAGTACGACCGCCTGCGCGCCATGGACGATGAGGTTAGACAGGAGAAGGAAAACGACGAGTTTGAGCGGCAAAAGGCCGAGCGGGCTGCCAAGGACGAGGAGCGCACGAGGAAGAATCGGGAAAAGAGGGATAAGAAGAAGCAAAAGGGTAAAAAGGGACCCGGTGGTGGTGGTGCTGTTGCTGGCGTGGCAAAGGGAGGAGCTGCAGCCGCTTCTTCGTCAAGTGGTGGTGTCGCCGCAAGGGGTGCGGCGGAAACATCTACAAACAAGGAGGATGAAGATGCCAAGGATGATAAGAACGGCAAGAGCAAGGGCTCAGAGACGGCAACGACCTCGTCAGGAGCTGCTCAGCCCCCGGGTATCGTGATCCACGACGAGGACTGATTCATCGTCCCGTGGTTTTGGAGGGCCCCTTGGACCTGAGCCTGGGTCTTGGGGTTCAGTTGCTGTCGAGCTTTGAGCTCTTTTTTTCAAGCTTGAACATAAGCTTGGCGTGACCAAAAATAACTTCAGACCAAACACCAAGTGTTCGGTGGGTCCCGCGCCCAACTTAAACATTGATTTGACAAGACAGGAGACACAAGACAGGGGGGCATTTTCAGAAAAGCATGAGCATCAAAGCTTTTTTTGTCCTTTGGAGATGTCCCGAGAACTTCAGTCGTCTAGGTAATTTCTAATCCCATATCTATGCATCCATACAGGGGTATGACCTTTTTTTTTTCATCTTCATCACTGCTCATTGCAACCGCTCTCCCGTCTTCGTCATGAAAAATACCGGATCCGACTAACGTCAACAGGCATCTTATTCGTCGCCACCTCCGTGCAGGCCGTTGCCCATTTGCGCTGCCTTTCTTGCGCTGCAAATGTCGTCTACTCTGAGGAGCAAGCAAGCGGACTGTGAGCCATGTATTAGTATTGTTGAACAATGTGTAAAAGATAAAAAGAAAAGAGGGGCAAAAATCGTAAACCAATGTAGACATACCTCAATCGCCGTCTTGATGCTCTGCAACTTGATAGCCTCCGGCTCCCACACACCGTACTCCTTCATGTCGGCGACAACGCCAGAGTCACCGTTGATACCCCACGAGTGCTTGCCCTCTGCGTGCTTGGCGCGCAGGTCAGTCAGTACTCTGACGGGGCTGGCACCGGCGTTCTGGACCAAGGTACGGGGGATAACCTCAAGGGCGTCAGCGACGGCCTTGTACGGCCATTGCTGGACACCCTCGACGCCCTTTGCGAGCTGGCTCAACCGCACCGAGACGGCCATCTCAGTAGCACCACCACCGGGGGAGAGTCTGGGGTTGAACATGACGTTGCGAGCAACACCCATGGCATCCTGCAGGTTACGCTCAATCTCGTTGAGCACGTCCTTCGACGGGCCGCGGAGGAGCACTGTGCAGGCCTTGGGGTTCTTGCATCCGGTGAGGAAGGTGAAGTACTCGTCGCCAATCTTCTCAATCTCAAACAGGCCGCAGAGCGTGCCGACATCGGAGTCCTGGATGTCATCGACGCGGTTGACAATGGTGGCGCCCGTCGCTCTTGCTATTCTGTTGTTGTCCGTCTTGCGAACGCGGCGGAGGGCGGTGATGTTAGCCTTCATGAAGTAGTGCTGAGCGAGATCTGCAGGATGTTAGCCCTCATTCCCCAATACCTAGCCGACAATAAGACGCACCTGAGACACCCTTCTCGGTAATGACCAGATCGGGCTTAAGAGCAATAATACCCTCGCACATAGCCTTAACCTGCTCCTCCTCAATCTGCAGGATACGGTTCCAGTCCTCCTCCTTGGAAATCTCGATATTGGTCTGCGACTCGCCCTTCTTGTACTCCAAGGGGCAGTCGAGGAGGACGATTCTGGGATTCTCTATTCTCCGGCGCATCTTGGGGTGGGTGATGTCCTTGTTGAGCATGACTCCGTCTAGCACTCTGCTGTCCTCGATCTCACCGCCCGGCACCTTCTCCACACGTGCGTATCTCTTGATGTCGACCTCGGTTTTTCCGTTGCCGGCCTCCCAGGTGACGGTGCGGACGGCGCGGAGAGCCAGGTCGCACATCAGGTCGGACCATCTCGAGACGAACTTGGTGCCGATAGAAGAGGAAATGAGGCCGCGCATGGCCTTGTCGTCGTTGACATCGATGGGGAGGGAGATATCGTCGACGATCTCGAGGGCGTCCTTCAGCGCGCGGCGGAAGGCGGCGATGATCTGGACGGGGTGAATGTTACGCTCGAGCTGGGGGAGGGACTGCGCAAGCATCTCGCCAGCTGGGCCAGGTCAGTCTCTGGCTTTATAAGCAGGATAGCTTTCAGGGGCTTACCCAGAATAATGACCGTTGTTGTACCATCGCCAACCTCTTCGTCTTGTGTCCGGCTGAGCTCAATCATGCTCTTTGCTGCAGGGTGCGAGACCTCAATCTCTCTGAGGATGGCATGGCCATCGTTGGTAAGGACGATACCGCCCATGGGGTCGAGGAGCATCTTCAACATAGCCTTGGGACCCAAGCATGATCGAATAATGTCGGCGACGCTGATGGTGGGGTTAGCGAGTGTCTATGGAGTTTTCGAAAGAACATCGTACGTCTTGGCAGCCGCGATGTTGGACATCTGGGCCTTGCGACCCGTCTGCCGTTCACCGGCACCGGTGTCTGTAGAGTACGCAGTTAGTACCTGATCCTGATATTTGGGGGGGTAGCTAGTCAGAGCTCTGGGGAAGGAGGGGCTGCCATACTCATTACCACTACTGGAGCCTGCATGGTTGTGCGACAACGATTTTAAGAACCTCAATAAAAAATTGGTGTCGTCGAGAGGATGTGTGTTTGGCGAAGAGCTTCACCGTTGCAGAGGAAACCGTGGAGATGGCGGGGGTGGTGGTGCTGCTGCTGCTCAAGGCACCGGGCTTCTAAAAAGTTCGCTGGGCGGGTTTGTTTTTTGGCGGGATGAAGCTGGAGCTCGGCGGAACCTTTTCCCCGGCTTCACCGAGCTTCACCTGGCTTCTGGCTTGGCACACCGATGGACCCACCTTTGACAACGTCCCATACTCTACCCAGGAGTAATTCCAGCAGAAGTTTGGGGCCAGGGGATTTAGCAAATTCTCAGGAGGAACGAAGAGGAAAAGTACCATAGGGTCATTTTACATACTCAGGGCCCGCTCGCAAGACGAAGGGTTACTCAGCCAGCAGACTTGCCCCTTAGTGACATAACCCCCTATGGAACAGTAAAAAGGGTTTCTGTCGAGAGCATCCCCCCTCCCGAGCGGGTATTTCTCTTTCAGCCGGAGTTCTAGGACTTGAATACTTCCCGAAAATCAGGTTTGCGGTACTTAGACTTGAATTGTTTTCCATCTCGTCATAAAAGGTCAGGGAAACATGGCCGAGGGGTATGGTGGGGGGGGGGGGGTCTTTGTATTAATTTGAAAGTCCTCGAGCCTCACTCAACCTTACCTTTTGTTCGCTTCCCAGTGAAGTCATTCTTTTCGGTCTCTTCTCTCTCCTGCATAGCCATGAATCACTCAGATGGCTCACTAGAACGATAAACTGGTACGCACCAATCAGCCAAATTCAGCTACGGAACACTCGCTCTTACTGCCCCCCAAAGTCCTTCTGAGCCTCTGCCAGTCCGCTGTAGAGAGATTCTATGCCATATCCTAGACGTCCATGCCCTGAACCATTGAATTACTCATTATTTGACGCAACTTCTATCTCTTGCGCATTCTTTGCTTGCAATTCGGCCATTTCCCACTCGACCCCCAACTGCTACCTAGTTTGTTGGTCCTACCAATGGACTTCGTTGCGAAGCCCAGAACTTTTAGAAGGAGCCGTGTTGCCTTGGTGTCTGCTGTTTTGCCCTTTATTCAGACCTTGCGGCCTGATACTATGTTGAGATTGCGACGACTCATGCTGCACAGGCGTCCACCTTGACTGAGACGCCCCAGCAACCGGGGCAAATTCTTGCCAATCACCCTCAAAGGTAATGTCTACGATGCACTCATCGCTCGCCATGGCGTCCTGGAGTGATTCCCACCGCACTTTGTCGGCGTCTGCCGCCAAATTAAAGCGGTCCCAGAACTCGGCCTTCCTCAGCAACAACGCACTCTTGCTGACACGTCTGTCTGTTTCTTTCCAGGGAAGACCAGTCACATCCGATGCGCAGAGAAAGTCGTCAAGTGTGCTGTCATCCGGCATATGACCCTTTTTGGACCCGGTCACGAAGATTGGCACGCCGTCTCCGGAAATCTTCAGCCTCATCTTCACATTCTCTAAACCTGAATCGACCCTCCCAATGGTAAGCTTGTCAAAATCACCAAGCTGTGGAGGTTCCATCTTGTCCAGTTGCTCTTCCATGATGGGCAGTGGCTTGCTGGTGCTCACCACTACTAGGATGCTGTCACAAGGTATAGCAATCTTGATGAAAGATTGTGGCATTGGTGTCAGTTCGATCGGAGCTGGGCCGTTGACTTGGGCCAGAGGCTTGGTTATCTCGATGCATACCCATCTGCGTTTCACTCCGTTGATATCGGTGCTTGGATAAAGTTTTAGCTAGGCCATGTGTCGAATAAGGACGAAATACTTACATATCCAAGTCTATCAATGATAGTTTGTGTTTCCGATCACGTTCAAAGAACCTCTCTGTGGTGAAACTCGAGTTATCGTCGTCGTCTCCTGCATTAGTACCCAGGGCCCCCCCCGGAAACGACTTTTGCCCGTTGTTCTCCCTTTGGAAGTGTACGTACTGTATCGAACGCCTCCGATACCCGTTCAATTCCATAGACCTGGCTTGAAAGGCGCTGAAGCTCTTGTTCATTGACATGCCGTGGTAGCTGGGTTGCCACTCGATATTCATGATCTGATCGGCCCGCCGCCAAGCAATTACTCCGGGAATGCTGTGGACGGTCTTGTTGTATGGACGTGATACTGCCGTAAGCCTGAGAGAGGCCCCTTTGCTGTTTACTGATGAGCGAAATATTCTCTATCGACAAAAAGATAGCTTACACAAACATCGATCTGGCTCTGATGTAAGCGTTATACATGTCCCACCACTCGTTGGCATAAGCCGGGCTTCTGTCTGGTAGAGTAACTTCCATGGATGGAAACCCCAAACGCCGTTTCTCATCTTCAGCAGCGTTGATAACTTCCTTCTGTCTTAATGACTTCGGCAAGGCGAGGGCAAGGTCGGTCATATCGATGCCACCAAAAGCCATGATATCGTTTCGAGATTCATGTCGTAAACGGGCTGGGTCTTGTTCAACCTTGGCTCGGTACTCGTCCCTGCGTTGTAACCCAGTTCGGAGTCCTAAAATTAGCTTCTCCTGAACGCTCATGTCAGGCTTGAGGTCGGACATCTTGGCGAGGTTGTAGCCGGCATCGGTTTCGACTTGGACATTTGCTGGGTTTCGGCAAAGCGACGCCACGCCTAACACTTCTGTTAAGTAAGGAAACCAAAATGTTTTGCATATTCTTCTTACTGTGACGGGAGACTTCAGGGAAGCAGCCGAGACGAGTTGGCCGCGGTGGGCGAAATTCTGGGATTCGGGCTGCGATATATCAGCGATGAAATTTCTCTTTCGGAGACAAAAGTCTGTAGCCATAGGCCAGCCACAACCCTTTGAGCCATTACCTGAACTTCCAACCGCCATGGTTCTTCTGTGTCTTCGCATATATTGATGTTGACGCTGTTCTGGCCTTGTTCCCATCATCACCCGCGGTGCTGCACTGGGCACGACCACGCTCGAACGGTTTCGTTGTTCGACTCGCTTTCTTTTAGGCGCGTTGTGCTCACCTTCGCTCGCACGCCTCTTTCCAGGTTGAATCCAGGGCAAAGTCATGTTTTTGACTGCTTTACTCGTGGCCGGTTGAGGAGTATGCCGTGGTGTTGTACTTGGTGAGACTTGTGTGATGCCTCGAGATGAATGGCGACTAGACCCTACGCGTAAACTAGCAACGGAAGGAGCTACCTTTCAATTGAGCTCTGGTGACTGTATCAGAATTGCGTATATCAGTTGATTTCGCCTGGGGGCTCGAAAGGATCGGGGAAGGCCGGTATCAGAGATGTAAGCCACCTAGCGCCGAGTGATCCGGTCGGGAGGTTGTTTGCAAGTAGTGTGTGGTATAAATGACTGAAATTGGAAGAGGAAGGGAGGTCTTGCGCTCCATAAAAGTACTAAAAGACAAGATCAGGATTAACGAATGAAGAAAGGAAGGGAAGCTATTCGCGGCCACTTTGAAGCGAGTGTTGGGATGGACGGTCCGAAGGTAGCAGATGCAGCGAGGAGGTGCGAGACAAATGAATGGACAGCCGTCATCGAAAGAGGAAAGAAGGAGAGAGAATCGATAGGCCTCTCGCGTTCCAGTCTTCGAGGCAAAGAAAATATAAGGTTGTGGGTTGAGAGTAGCGAAAGAACTTTGACGGTGGGGGTGGTAAGGCTGAATCTTCAACCATCACCCTCCTGGCTGGCGTCGCTCTCGAGTGGAAAGTGGCATCCAGCTTCAGCCTGGATACGGAAATCAGCGAAATAGATCACTTTGAAGTGGGTTCAATTGGCAGAGTCGGACTAGGCAAGAGTAAGGCCGGATCACCTAGACCTTCTGTCTCTCTCCAGTGTCTGGGACACTGCCTCGTCCGAATGGTAGAGTGGGTAAGACCTGTAGAATGCTATATATTAAGAAAGAGAGGAAAATAGTGGAGGAAGGTTGCTTGGATTTGCTCTACAAAGCAGGAACAAAGCGGTCCCAACCTGAGGTTGAGTCAATAAGCCAGCTTCGACGACACCACGAATTTGCCTGTCTGACTTGAGCCTCACTCAGCGCTTTGAAATTCGACAGCCACATAATTACCTCACATACACGCAAGCTGAAGTAGCTATGTAAATTTTAGCGTCATTGAATGTATTGAGATATCGTCTTTCAATCACAATTACCGCCATCTCTGCCCACAAACCCTACCAAGCACACAACGAAAGTATCCATCTCCTCTCCCAAACGCAGGCCACTCATCGAGCTGCGTCCTTACGTATTGGCTGACCTCCGTGCCTGGCTTGACCCATCCTATACCCAACATGTAGGCACCTGATCAGAACGATTTCCGTCCATGCCTCTACTGCAAGCCCGGTGTTGGCCCACACTTTGGACGCCATGCACATACATCGCCAAAGCTACGACGACATGTGTCATCCCTGTCGTGAGTCCGTAAGAAGAATATAAGCTAATGTATAATCCTGAAGTAACTCCCTTTTGCAATAGACCCTCCTCTAGAGGTACGTCTCTATGATGGTATCCGCCTCGAAGCAGTTGTACACAATGAGCAGAAAGGACCATATTAACCATGATGAACCTGAATCTTTCGTGAATCCCCGAAACTCCTGTTTTCCCAAATGCCATGCCTTGCTAGTATGAACCCCATTTTTGTGTGTTTGAATGTAACCGTGTAGTGCGGGCGCCTATGCTATTGCAGCAGGCAGAAGTGCATGAGGGACGAGACTTGGTAGTCCCGCCTCTTATTGTTGTTTATCCTGGTTTTGCGTCTTTCTCTAGGCTTCAGAAGAACCTGGACATGGCTCTGCTGAGATCAATGAAGTCGACGGGCTTGGTGACGTAGTCGCTGAACCCGGCCGCAACGCATTTGTCCTGAACATCGGACATGACATTGGCCGAAAGCGCAATGATGGGAAGCTTCTTGAACCCTTGCTCTTTCTCCCATTGTCGAATTTCTCGGCAGGCCTGGTAGCCATCCTTGCGTGGCATATGCAAGTCGCACTAGAAAGTTAGTCAGCAGAGCGACACGTCTTGCGAGATGATGAGCACTTACGAGTATCAAGGAGTAGTAGTTGTGGGCGTGATCAAACACCATTTCGGTGCACTCGGCGCCATCGGCGGCCACTTCAACCTCCACGCCAACCTTCTTCAAGTACTTCTGTAGAACCTTCTGGTTCACAGGGTTGTCTTCAACCAGTAGCACCTTATACCCTTTGTTGCCCATACGTTTTCCAATCTCCTGGTAACTCGCCTTCTGAGTTTCAACCATACGTTGTGCAGTTGAGCGGTTCCGATCAACGCTCAGATCGCGGACCTTGTCAGGATCAAAGATGACGGCAAACCTCGATGGCTTGACAGGTTTGTAGATGAAAGTGACAATGTTTTCTGACACAAGTTTCTCATACTTCGTATCTGTCGCAAGTCTCATTACGGCTTGCCGTTGAACTGAGTCTGATAGAATGAGGATTGTCGTATTGTTGATGGTTGTCGACTTTGTAATCTGCTCCATGAGGCCGATAATCTCCTCTGGAGACGGCAAGTTGAGGACGATGTGAGTGAAATTGACAGACTCCTCTCCCCCAAGCAACTTCTGCGCCTTTTCGGTAGAGTCTAGTGCTGTGATTTGATGAGGCACATCCTTGGGCAGAGTCATCTCGATGTGTTGTGCCGTGGCTTCACGACTATGAGTCTGAGGGCAGATGATGAGGATGGAGTACATTGGAGGCTTCAAGTCTTCAGGTTTTGTCGGTTTGGAGGTCTCGGGTGTAGGCGTTTTGCCTGGTGAAGACTCGCTGGAAGGTAGCTCGAGCTTCATCTGCGACAGATCTTGGCCACTTGCTCTTGCTGCTTCGCTGAAGTGAACCAGTCCAACGTTGATCGAGGACACGGACGTAACGGACGTACGCTCCGTAGCCCGAGAGACGCCAGACTGGACCGATGGAGCTGAACTTCCGCTAGAAGCAACAGCAGGCGACGTGAACTCAGTGTCAGTCTTGGGGCTGTCTGTTGATGCGGGCGTAGGTGAGGGCAAGTTCTTTGAAGGGCGGATAATAGCCACATCTTGAGTCACATTGGAAGTGGGTTGCAAGCTCTCAGGACTCAAGGGTGCATCAGGATGATCCTCCTTTGTCGGCAAAGCAAACTTGGCAGTGAAGGTGAACGTTGACCCTTTTCCAGGGACAGCACTACCTTCCATCTTACCTCCGTGCAGTTCCACCAACTGTCTCGAGATGACTAGTCCCAGACCACTTCCGCCATGCTGTCGGGTGCTGCTTCCATCGATTTGACTGAATGGCTTGAATATGAGATCTGCCTCCTCCTTGGAGAAACCGCGGCCTGTGTCAATGATGGCGAACTCGAGCATGATCTCGTGCTGGTCCTGGGTCGAATCTTTGTTGGTATGAACCCTGCATCGACTGAAGACCTCTCCCTCGGCAGTGAACTTGATGGCATTGCCGATGACGTTAAGGAGCACTTGGCGAATCCGGACCTTATCGCCCTTGACCCAAGCCGGAACATCCTCCTCCACGATGTAATTCAGCTCTAGCCTTTTAGCAATAGCCATGGTGGAGACCAACTCATTGACATCCTCAATGAGAGAGCGGGTATGGAACCATTCGTATTTGAGCTTCATCATTCCGGCATCGACCTTCGACAAATCCAGAATGTCATTGATGATCATCAACAGACTGTTAGCACTCGTCTGAATGGTGTTGGTGTAGTCTCGCTGCTCTTCGTTGAGAATGGTGTCTTGCAGGAAGCTGACCATTCCTGAAATCCCAATGAGTGGCGTCCGGATCTCGTGCGACATGTTGCTCAGGAATCTACTCTTAGACTCCATAGCCTCCTTGAGTTTGGCTTCAAGTAGTTTGTGGTCGTTGATGTCCGTAGCTGAGCCAAAGTAGGAGCTGGCTCCATTTCCAAAGTCAATGTTGTCGATCTCGACGCACCGGATTAGGTGCCATCTGTACTCTCCATTCTTGGATCGTAACCGCACCTCGGTCGTGTATGATAGTCTGCCGTTGCTGTCGGTTGTCACTTTGATAATACCCTGCCTGGCCAAAGCCGTCAAATCAGCGGTGGGCATCTCGTAGACCGAGCTACTGCTCGAGCTGTTATTCCGTGACAAGGCTTGGTGGATGCCTCGAAGGTTGGTTTCCATCTGGCTTTGCGTTTTGCCTGATACAAAGCTGGCCAACGTCGCCTCAGATGACGCTGGGTCTTGGTGCCCTGTACGATCGAACTTAAAGGGCATCGGCGTTGGTGGTCTGTCTGTGGGTATGTGGCATTTGGCCAGGTCATCAGGATGCACAAAGTCCATGAACCCCAGGCCGAGGCAGTCTTCGAAACTCTGTCCCGTGTACGACAGCCATTGCTCGTTGGCAAAAGTAATACCTTCGTCTTCAGTTGCAGTGAATATGATTTGAGGGATGAGATTGGCCAGAAGTCTGTGCTTTGCCTCTGAGGCCTCAATCTCCTCTTGCCGTGCAGCCTTAAGTTCCGCAATATGTTGGTCATGGATATCCATGTAGGAGCCGAGGAATTGCATCATGACTCCACGTTTATCGCGGGACGCAACAGCACGAGCATAGAACCATCGGTAGGCCCCATCAAAGCGTTTGATGCGAACAGTCCTCGAGAACTGTTCACCAGTGCGTAAGGAATGGCTCCATGCCTTCAGATATTCATCTCTGTCGTCTGGGTGAATGCTGCCCCAAGGATCGGCAGCCAGATCAGAGACTGTCTGACCGCGGTAGGTAAGGTAGCGACTATTGACCCAGACGATTTCGCCTGACTGCGGCAGCGAGACAAAGACGTGAGCAGGCAAAGAGTCTAGTATGAGACCCTTGAGACGATCTGATGGCGGTGGCATGTCTACTGGGCCAACATTTATGGAGCCTGTTCGAGTCGGAGCAGTGTGGGGTACCGGTCTACTGACCACACTTGAGCTAGGTGGTAGCGATTGGAAGCTCGTCGCAAAGTCGGCACCGTAGGAATGCAAGAGAGTGTGATGACTGCCGACAGAACTTCTCTGGTCAGCTGACTTGAGTCGAGGTTCGAGCACAGCGATTTCGTCGAGATAATTCTTGAGTTCGTGGGAGAGCACTCTCTTGGAACCTCCCGGCGTCGATACTCGGCTTTCGACGTTGAGCTCGACCAGGTCTTCACTCTCCCCAGGCGTCTGAGCAGGCTCCGTGTTAAGAGGCTTGTATGAAGCGGAGAGACGAGCTTGGCGCTTGTCCAGTGGCGAATCTTCCTTTGAACTTCTTCTTGTCCTCTGAGAAGTCGCAGAAGCCATCTCAACCCTCGAGTTGCCCGGCTTCAGCTTGGTGCCAAAGTAGCTGTCTCCCCCAACTTGCGCAGGACTGGTCGCAAATCCAGACTTGTCAATGGCATGATGCATGGAACCAGGCGTGCCAAGTGGGGAGCCAGCAGCACTCTTGGAGACACCTGAGTAATCGCTGGGACTGGTAATGCTGCCCGCGAGCGAACGTTGGGCCGCCATATCATCAGAGGCCATAAAGCTTAGATTGCCGATGCTGGCAGGGTCTGCTAGGGGACGCCCGTCGGCAGCAAGCGCGCCGAACCCGGCAGTGTGAGGCCTGCGCCGGTTGAGACCAGCAAGCTCTGTCTCCAAATTCGTATAATGACGACATAGAGAAAAGGAGGTTGCTAGGTGCGGGGCAAGATACTCTAGTGAATGGCGAAGGTTTGATGGATATGGGATGACGGGACTGAGAATCGACAGAATAGCAATAGGCGCGGGCTTATCTTTGCGCTGCCATGGGGATGAGGTAGCATCGTCATCATCATCGCCGCCAGTAGCGTCCTGGGCTTCACTGCGGCTGCGAGAGTGAGATTTTTGCTCCAGGATGGTTGTGTCAAGCTTGAAGGGATGGACAGGCTTTGAAAGCAGTAGATGTGTCAACGGAATGTGAAGGACTGTCCATGCGTTATCCACGCCAATAGCTTCAGGAGGTCGCATTCCTGCGTAGTCTGCAGGTGCAGACTCGGGGTTGAAAGAGTCCTCATCGACCATGGCATCAGTGAAGAAGGGGTTCTCGTTCGGATCTGCCCGCACGGCTGGAGACGGCGCCGGGGACTGGGACCAAGGCGATGGCGGTGCCTGTTCAAACTCCTCGTATTTGGGGGTGAGTGGGCGTGGCTCGTCCTCGGAAAGTCGCGAAATTATGCTGGATGGCTTGTCACCACTGTGACTACGGCTAGAGCTCCAGGAGGAACTTGAACCACTCAAAATCGTCGAAAGCTTTTGTGTAGACTCGATTCGGCCCCTCTTCAGCTTTTTCCTCGCTGCCTCAGCCGAGGTCGTGTTTGCTGTTACTCTTGACTTGGCTGGCGTCTCCTCTGGCAAGTTCTGAAGATAGGGGTAACTTCTTGTCAGTGCGATGACCTTGCCTCGTTCAAGAACACGCATGACACCGCCGTGGTCGATGAGAGGATCAGCCTCGTAATCCAGAGCTTGAAGCACAGGAAGCACTCTACCCTCTGTGTCGGATTGAGCGCCAGTTGGAGCCTCCCAGCTCGGTACGTTCTGCTCTTCAGCGTCATGCTCAGCGAGTGCAGATTGGTTCAAAGCTGGCCCAAGTGGCTCTTGGGCCATGTCCTCGGTCGCCTGGCCAGGCGGGAAGTAGCTTTTGCTTCTGCCCAGTTGCGCAGGTCGGCGTGAGGGCAAGAGCCTCTCATTGCTGTTTCCTTTTCGTTCCCTATTCTCCTCATACGTCGTGAATGAGTGCCGAGTTTGGAGACTGGGTCGAGACAACATCCTGGGTCGTGCCGCATCTTCGGGTAAAGGAGGCTCTTCCGAGCCAATGTCGCCGGCGCTACTGGGTATCAAACTGCTTCCCCTTGCCATGTATCCGAGGCTGAGGTCGTCCTCCTGGTGCTCGTTGTACGTTGCTTTCTGACCCCAGGGCACGTTCTCGATATCGGTGGTGTCAGCCGGCACAGCAAGTGTCACTCTCTCGGCTTTGTAGACGTCTCTCATGATTTGAACGACGGTGTTCCACCACGCATCCATTCCCGGCTCGGCATTGAGCATCAGCGACAGATCATAGAGGTTTGGGCTTGGGAAATCGCCCTCCAGTTGGCCAGTGGCTCCGGCGGGGAGAAAGGTTAGGGCCGATGCTGGTGTTGATGAGCCGGACATGACCCTATCTTGAGCGGCGCCGAAACCCTCGAACGACATACCCTGCGCCATGAAAGCGGCTGCAGTTGGGGACATGTTCCCGAATGGTCGATTCATCGCGCCCGGGCCGTACCCCGGCGTATACATGCGCGGGAAGGGGTAAGAAGGAGTTCCCGCGATATGACCGGGCGTCATGCCGCCACGAATGGTGTTGCCGGACTCCGTTGACGTTGTGGTTAGATTGGACGATGTCGTTGCCAAGCCCGCGATTCCAGCCTGTGTGCGCGGCGAGTTGCCACTTTCCTCCTGGATTGGTGAGACGCGCACCTTGTCGGGGGTTGTCGCCATTAAGCCTCTCGTCGCCATCTCGCGCTTCTCCAAGTCTCGTGCCAATCGCTCTCGGTATCGATTTAGTTGTATCTGGGATTCAGAAAGGGCCGGTGGCGTCTCGTCGTCGGTCCCTGCAGCATACTCAGTTTTACTTTTTGGTTCCTTGCCGCCCATGCCACCAGCAACGTCATCACTAGCCCTGGACACACCCGCGCTGCGCTTCAGGTTAGTATCCGCACCAGCACCGCCAGGACTCGTAGCCTTGGTGACGAAGGGCTCGGTTTGCGCCCTGGAGCGGTCGCTGGGCGACTTTGAAGACTGCTCCTTGGACACATCCGCCATTGCGGCTCGCGCATGTCTACCAGTCTTTAAAGAATCGAGTGTCAGTCCATGGCGGGGGCTCGGAAGGTTGACGGGCGATTCTTTGGCAGGCGACTTTTTCGAATCGGGCGTCGTTCGTCTTGGAAGGCTAAGCCGACGCGCAGAGGACGAGTCTTTCTTGTCTACTGGAAGGCTCGTGCTTGGCATTCCTCATAGAATAGAGCGCCCCATACACAGAGATGGTGAAGTGTTGGTCGGGATTGGTGATGTCGCTTCGAGAAGGTGTCCGGCCGGGTCGTGACGAACAGTGACGGCGAATAAATGTGTCGTGGCAAAGTCGAAAGAGGAGGTGGACGACGAGGGGTTCGGTCGCGGTATTTTGAGTGGGAGAGGGGAAAAGTCACGGTTGGAAAAATTCGATCGACGGGATGCGGTGAGGCGAACGAAGGTGACGATCTGGAAGTCGAAGGAAAATGCCGTAAGTAAGAGCGCGTGGTGCAGTGGTGGAGGAAAGATTGCAACGGTCTGGTTTGTATTGGTAACTCGTGGTGAAGGGTGAGGCAAGGTTAGGTAGGTTGGTGTGGGATGGTACGGATGGGATGTGCGTTTGGACTGAACTGAAAGAGGCATGGGCTGGAAGAGAACGGGACTGGGACCAGGCCTACCTAGCAGGTCTTTTAGGACTGGGAATGGGGACAGGAGCAAGTATGCGTGTCCGTAACGCCTATCGTGGTGTGTTGAGGGGCGTGTGCAATATTCCCGGCGCTGATTCTCTTTCTCTTTCAGTTTCTGTCGGAATGGGTCTCCTCAGTCTCTCCTCTCTCTCTATCTTTCTCTTTCTCAAAAGTCTGCGTTGACGGCGGGCCTGACGGGAACGGTGACGGTGACGGTGACGGGTGACGGATGACGGATGACGGAGAACAGGGGGGGCGGGGAGCGGGCAGAAGACTGGAGGAAGCGAAGCGAAGCGAGAAACGCAGCAAGAGGGCGTGGGAATTTGGGAAGGAGAGGCACAATGGACGAAAAGATCAAGAAAGGAAAGGGTGGACGGTCCACCGGGGGCCTATGACGTAGCCCCAGGCCCAGCTGAGAAATAAGGTACCTGACGAGATGGGCCACCTCTGATTCCAACCGCACGGCATGCGAAAGGCGGCGGCGGCGGCGCCAACAAATCACAGTCAGCTTCAGCTGTCCAGTCGCGGAGGGGGAACCAACCAGTCAGTAAACCCTCAGTCGCCAGCGTCGTCAATGTCTCGGTCAACACTGTAGGTAAGCTAGCTGGCTGCCCTATTGGAATTGGAATCACCGGCCATTGCCTCCTATCCCGTTCATCAAATCAAGCTCTTTCCCAAGGTTCTTGGGCAGAAAATAGCTAATTACGGGCAGCCACCAAACCAGAGGGAAAGAACCTAAGAAGAAAACACACAGGTCTGCCAACGGGTGCTTCCTTGGAAGATAACTGGTCTGGTGGGTCCGTCATCCCTGCACCATTGAAGTATCGATACTCGGCTTACTCACTCTTTTCGACGTACCGATCGTTCATCTGTCCTACCTTGGTATTCAATAAGGCATTCATGACAGATGGACCGACAGGACAGTCCTTAATCCACTACAGTTTCGAGCAAAACAACATCACCTCACTCATCAACACATTACAATCTCCAGCTAAACTACAATTCACACTTCTCGGGCTTCTGTATACAGAGATGTTCTTTGATATACCTCCATACATTTAGCAGTAGCAGCTGGCTATCTACCTTGGTGCACCCGGCCACAGCCAGTGGCCCAACCAGTGCGGTCCGGATAGTCGCATCGTCAACATCCACGATCAAGTCGCGCGGATGTACAACAGTAAAGGTACAGGTACATGAAAATGTACGTGCCCTGGCAAGATGTGGGGAGTCCTGCACCGATACGTGCCCCATTACATCACACGGCGTGGCTGCCGCTGGCCCCCAAGCTCCACACTCGCGGCATCCACTCAAATCTGCCTCTCCGTCTTCGTTAAACCCGTCTATCCTCGATTAATTGCTTCTGGAGTCCCCTCCGTCTCGAACTCGTCCGTTTCTGCAAAGGTTGCTGGCCCTGGTCCGCCGCACAGGCAGACGGACATTCACTCATCGCATCTCAATTGTTGGTGCGAATCTGCATCTGAGCACGCAACCAATTCTCTTCCCAGCCTCTATATTCTATCCCGGGATCCACCCCCAGACAACGCCGCAGTCCGCACCGCATCGCACAGTGCCCCTGGTAAAGACGCGGCAGCTCACGGTTCGCGGACCTGGGAATCTCGGAGCCAGAAAGGCTGTGAGGCTCCGTCGGATACTGTCCGCCGTTTCAATGGCAACTCCACGTCTCCCGTAACGGAACCCACCCGGCCGCTTACAAGGCCGGGTTTCCCATACCTGAACAGGGCCTTTTCCTTCGCCTCGCACACATGAGCCGCTACAGGACAACCACTAGTCGGCCTTGTTTTGACATATCGAACGCTCCCCGGACCATGGTGTCTCCGTTCAACCTTCAAGGCAGCGGCAAGCTCATGACTCTCTGCACTCTCTAACCACCACCACAAACACCACCATCGTATGCGTACCCAAGTTGTAACGCGTTGGAGGTTGGCGGGACGTCCTAGACACGACACGAGACACGGATTCCCGCACCTCGACCCAGTATCCAGACGGAACTACCCAGGCAATCCGGCCCGATTTTAGATACCACGCGGCCATCAAAAACTTCAGACTCGTGGTACACAACGTTTAGATCGACCATCGTGCTCATGGCAAAACCCCCTGCCCTCCCCCGAACTCCGGAACAGGCCGCAAACAAACCAACAAAGGCAGCCAGGGCAGATCCCAATGCGCCGCGCTGCCGTCAACTCTAACCTGGTTTGCCCACAAAAAATTCAAAACGGCACGATGCAAGGTCGAACACAAATACAACGTCGTTGCAGCAAATTCTCGACTAAGACGGCATCCAGGGCGATCATGTTCCAACAAAAGACGTGGAAGGAAAGTTGATTTGCCAGGCACAGTATACTATCATGCAGCAAGTTGAGACTCTGATCGAGTCACGGATATGTCACAATTACGAAGCATCCGTTGACTCCATCAGGTACGCGTACAATACCTCGGACCGCGCATGTCTATCACTTGTCTAGTCTGCGCTCCGGTGACCGCCGCTATTGTTCGACTCAGGTGGTCAGAATCGAATTGTCACACGCTCGTCCGCGTCGGACTCCAGCACTCGTTCCCACTGCAAAGCTACAATTCACGACAAGCTAGCATGGCAAGGTATGCTGGGCCATCTTTTGATTTGAAGGTGGTCAACTGACAGAGTCCCGCCCCGGCTCCCCGCACTGTAATGGACCTGGTTTTTTAATGATTGGGCGACGCTATTTGGTAGTCGCGATTTAAGGCTACACTCAGTTGACGACTGCGATCTGATGAACTCCACCACACCAGGGCAAGAAATTGGGATATGCCCTGGGAAACGGTGAGTTGGAACGACGACGCGGTGATGTCTGCAGCCTTGCTTTGCAGAATTTTCCCGCCCCTTCGCCCTGTACCCAGCAATTTGGTATTACGCCGGGATTCACTTTCACTCTATTTGCTCATATTGACGAGCTGATGAGCGAAAACAGGACGTTTCTTGCCCAGTTCCCATTTACCCCAATCATGGAACGGCGACCAGCCAAATGGAATGACTGATTAACTCACTTCTGGCATCTCACACCTCACTAATGCGCGGTATACGGGGCATAACAAGCTTGTCAAGCCGTATCGGTGAACGCCATAGGCTTAGTTACGACGGGGACGTGATCATTAGTGGGCTAGCTAGATGGCACCTGTTCCAGAAAAGAATGTGGCCATCCCATTCTGGCTCTGCAGCCGGAGCGGGTGTCACGCCGCCAGGGCGCCGGTTATTCACTAACCTCCACTGCTGGACAAGACGCGATAACTTCGGACGTGGCTGGCCACTGGACTCCTCGAAAGGGGGACGGCGATGCTGCCGCGGCAGGGTTTCCGTCCACGTTTGATTGGCGACTGGGCCACAACTCAGGCGGGCTTGTTTCCATTCAGTGTTTGTCTGTCTTGCATTTGCGCCAAATACTCCCTTCCTTCCCCTTTCCCCCTTTTAGTTTCCTCTTGCAAGTTTCAATAGCAAGCAACCACTCACTTGGTCATTGACACGAACGGAAGGTGTGCTCGCTATTCCCAACACTCGTGGATAGCACAGCTAGTCACGCGACCCGCCCTACTTCCTTCTCTCCATGAAATCGATAGCAAAGGCAAGAGGCTCTACGCTGACGGCATGGTGCAACATCGACACTTCTTGCCTTACTCAGAAACGCACACTCTACCTTACCAACTCGTCACTTCATAGGAGAGACAATGATGGGTGATGGGCGAAGTTACTTGCTACACTACAGACACAGCCAACGCCTTTTCTCGACCCTGAATCCAGGTTGGACCCCTTATTTGTGCCTACATGTATACAGAGAACAAGACAACATCCTACAGCATCAAGACAAACTCATCGAGCTAACGGACGCTGCTCCGGATACAAGGGAGAGCTTCAGGTACTTGGATGAGGTACTCCGTACGGCAGAGCCAATTTCAATCACATCGCGCTGTCAGCAACCCACAAACCCCAGCGAAGACCAGAATGCGGCTTGAGAGGAGAGTCAACGCTTATTGAGCCTAGCTCACGACTTGCACAGGCGCCTCGCTCCACAGCCCACAGGGCAGACTCGTCCTTTTCGACAACGCATGACCTTTCAGACCCCTGAAGCTTGTCTCTCTCACGCTAAATGAGGATAAAATGACGTCAACATACATCGTAGCTTTCTCGATGGCGCCCTAACTGCAATGGGAATCCTGGCCCTGGAAGGCCGGGGAATGGGAACCCCCTCCCAGTCCCAGAGGCGCAAATGTACTACTGTACCAACAACCTAAGGTACCGCAGTACAGGCACCACAGGACATCGCATTGCGGCGGATTGCTGCATTTCTCCATCATTCGAGCCTCCTTTTCGCAGTACCCTACGTAGTATACGAATTCCCTTTGACACATGGGCTACTTATCATCTTGGCTCGTAATTGGCTAACTACACAACGGATGCAGTCAAAATCAAATGCGAGCTTAGCCTTGACCTCACTCCCCAATCACATTGGTTCCACAAACCGATTTCCGGGAGACCATCGTCCC